CAGAAGAGGGCTTAGGAAATAATAATACCAAAAAATAACAATAAAATTTGGACCAAAAGGGCACTTGGGGGCAAGGAGCAAAAGGGGCAAGCACCCCTAGCCCCCCCGCACATGCCTGAAGTTACTTCCTTGTAAGAACAATAAGCATCTGTTAGCCTATTTTATTTTTTTACAAAACCAAAAACAAACAAAGAAAAAAGGTTACAATAAGGCTCCCTTTTGGCATTTATAAATGTTTGTCATAAACATGCTGTAAAGTGTGAAAAATACTATCATTTTCTAATGACTAACAATGATTTATAAATTCCAAAAGATAGCCTTATTGTAAAGCATGACACCATTTATTTATGATTAATAAATATTTATGAATACCAAAAGGGAGCCTTACTGTGAAGTGTGCTGCATGCCATCATTTCTTATTGAAAATAAACATTTATAAATGTTAAAAGGAGAGCTATTGTGATGCATAAAACATTCCACAATTTATTTATAAACATTTGTAACAATAGTGTTACTATAGGAAGTCTATAGCACAAACCCTTAAGCATTTCAAAAAGTATGAACATATCCAAAATTAAGTAAATCTCTTTGTTATTTGGAAATCAAATACATAAGTAAACAATCTTTGAAAAATAGTGGTTTTCACATCTCTTCTTCAGCTCAAAACAAACAGAACTTAAGAACAAAACACACTCAAACACATTTGCTGCTTCTAATTGGAAGCAAAGTACCAGTAACCTCCATACTTTCTATTCTGTTTTTCACTTTTTCATTGCCTTGAACTGCAGCCTCACATCGCTCAGCCAAACCTACCACACTGTCTCTCCTCGGTGAACACTGGAAGCAAAAGCTCCCCAACTGATGAAGTGGACACAACAGTGTTTCTGTCAACTCTGTGCTTCTGAAAAGCTTTATCAAGGCCTCCATCTTTAGAAATCTTTGAGAAGAGATTTGTAGGCACTACAGATAAAGAAGATGAATCTGCATTTTCAGAAGCATTCCCAGGACGTGGATAATTGAATTTTTTTCTCTTTAGGATACAAACAAGAAAATGGCTGGTTTTATTAACAAGATATTCTACACCTCTCAGGTCACAAAGAGTGACAAAGACATGCAGGTAGCTGCTGCTTCAAATTCCCCCTGAATTGAATTTACACAATTAATGACTTTATTTGCTTTTCTGCTTCTACAGATTAAGCACTGTAAACTTATTTCTTTAAATTAAGCATGTAATAAATAATAAATAAATACATGAGTCGAAAATTCAGCCAGAATAAAAAAAAGAAAAGAAAACAAGACTACAGAAAATAAAACCAGATACTAGGTCATGGCATAATTTATAAACCAGTTAGTGGTAGTGATACAATAACTAATTATATTTTTCCCTTGCTCAGAAAAATCATGATAAATGAATGAGAATTAGTTCAAAATGAAGCATAAAAGCTTTAAAATTTAGGTAGTGAACTATGAAAAGCCACTTTATAAAAAGAAAAAAAAAAAAAAAAAACATTGTTGCAAATATTGCTGAGTTGCAGATGTCGTAGCACTGATGTCACCCAATGCAGATGGAGGTCAGAAAGCAAATGCAGTGAGTTTACTTCTGTTGATCCAGTTTCAAAATGCCTGAAGTCTGAGTCCTGTACAGTTGTTCAAGATAGATGTCATTTTTGTTTTTCTGAAGGTAGTTGGTCACAAGGGAGTCACCAAACCCTTCATGACAGATTCATGTTCATGACAGGTGTTATGTCATGTTTGTGGGAGTGTTATGTCAGCCTTAAGCCCACCCTTTCAAATAAAGTATTACCAAAAATACTTATTTTTGGAGGATCTGTTTCTAACCACTATCAGGTCCAGAGGACCCAAACCGTTTCACACCACATTCAGTCATTCACCCATTTACATGTTGGTAAAACTGGTATGCAGATTGAACAACAAAACTAACAATATCTTCTAAACTCATAAAGTGCTTTGGTGTATCTTGGAGCTGCACTGTGTGTATTCTCACTGTGTTGTTTGGTGATGTTTTTATTGACCATTAGCCTTTGTTTGCCTCCCAGGAGAGCACGAGGTACGGCTGAAGTTCAAACTTTTTGTTTTTTACTCTTACTGATGTCCCTGATTTAAAATTTATAGCCAGGCTTCATGCGTTCTTTTATCAACCTATTTTCTGCTTACTGATTTAAAACACAGCAAGCTGCATTAAATGTGACCAGAGCTCTTTTGTTAAGCTGCAATTCTGGCTTTTCTATTTTCACCTCACATGGAGGTCAAAAAATCTGTG